GAGGCAAGGATTTTGAAACTCTGTCTCACATACTTCGGGCATGTTCTTGGAGAAGGACATCATGCTTGGAAGGGTGGAGGGACAGGACAGGAGAGGAAGACCCTAGATGAGATAGATTGACATAATTGGGGTGATAGGAATAGATGTGTCGGAGTCAGTGAGACTGACTCAGGATAGGGTAGGTTTCAGAGCTGTTGTACCCAGGGTCTCTTATTAGTCACAGGCAACTCTACAGCATGTAACAACCACCGACACCTTTGGGACTGCAGGGCAGCTCCCTGATAGGATGCTCCCTCTCACTAATCGATTACTGGGATTGCTGTACTTCACACAGTTATTCCTTTGCATTTTCACCAACCTCTTAAGTTGGAGAGACCTTGGAGAGTGTAACAGCTACTGCTGGTGCCTGCTAACCAAAGCTTATCAGAGGCATCTTGAAAGAAAACCTGGTAATCACCTTCTAAAAAAATCTGCCATTCGAATCCTTACAGAGCACAGTTTCACTCTGATAAACATGGAGTTGCCATTAAGTGGAAAATATTTCCTTATTTTATTTTGTTTTTATTTTATTTTACCTTTGTCTTATTGCTAGAATAGTCATGTAGACTTCTCATCTGTTGGCCAGCCTTTTATAATCTGTATGGGGTTCATTTATACCCTTTACCCATTTTTCTATTAGACTAGATGATTAATTTGGTATAGGTTAAGCTGTTGGGATAAGAGGTTCCCAACTGCAGTGGCTCAAATAAGACACATGTGTGTTTTTTCTCAGAGGTTTTTGTATGTCCATAGGATCATAACAGAGGAAAACTTTAATAGGGATTGCATTAAATCCATAGATCACCCTGGGGAGTATTTCTCATGTTTCCTGGAAAGTTTATCTTTCTTAGGATGTGAAAACTTTTGGGTCTCATGCCCTTTTTCCCCCCCTACTAGTTTATTTACAAAATTCAAATACATTATTTTCCAGAACAAATTCTTTGAATTTCCCTCACCCCACCACGATTCAAATTGTACAACCCCCTGATTACTCTCCCTGTCCCCCTGGGTCTCATGCCTTTTAAGGTGAAGGGAGTCTTAAACAACTTTTTTTTGTCTTGTTGTTTGTTTTGCTCTTGTTGAATTCACGTATTGTACCTCAGCATCAGTTTTGGGTTTTGTTTGTTTTTAAAGTGCCAGTATTTCCAGATTTTAAAAATTAGTTCTATGAAATTATGTACATTTCTATTTTTATAATCCATTAGTTTGGAGCTCTTGTAGCATAGCCTGTAGGGAGTTGCAGTGCTGATCCAAGGGACACACTTCTCTTGTCATTTGAATCTGCCAGCAGTTCTAAGGGAAAACACAGAACAGCCACCTCCTATTTTGTTGACAGTCTCAGAAAACCCATAAGGGATGCGATGGGTCGGACCTCCATCTAACAGTGGTGAATTTGAGTTTTTGAGATGGTCTTAGAGCTTGATGTTCTTGTAATAAAAATACCATCAAAGGGTTACTCAGAAGCACAGAGCCTTATTTTCTCACAGTTCTGAAGGCTAACCCAGGGTCCTGGCACCTGGCATGAGTTCTTTCCTGCTCTTGTATATGGATCTTCATATGGTCTCTTCCCCCTCGGGTCACAGTGTCTGTTGTACTCAGAAGGGAGTTTTAGAATTAGTCCGCATTCTACCTGAGTGCTCCTTGGAGGCAAAAATGGCAACGCTTTGTCTCTCACACTTTGGACATGTAGCCTGGTGATTCTGTTGTTTAGAAAGATGGAGGGTCAGTGAAGGAGAGGAAGACTCCCAACTAGATGGATTGACACAGTGACTTCAGCAACAGGCTCTAATTTGTCAGAGATGATGAAGCTGGCATAGGTTAGGGCAGGGTTCAGGTCCGCTGTTCACAGGGTCACTGTGAGTCATTCTCGACTAGACAGCACCTAATAACAACTACCCCAGTATGACTTTCATATCATAAAAAGAGAAAACCCTATTCCAAACAAGATCACCTTAACAAGTATAGGGAGTTAGTACATCAGTACATATGTTAGTGAGACACAGTCCATAAAGTCGCGATATTCTTGCTGTACAGTTTGTTCTGCTAAGATCGATATCAGACTAGTCACTAACAGGTGGAGGTCAACGGTGTCCCAAATCTTTGACCCACTGTCCCACTCTCATTTCTGACATCACCTGTTCCTCCTCTGTTCATGACCCCTTGTATTATGGCTCACCAGAAGGTTTCACAGAAACGCAAAAGCTACCAGAGAAATGACTCACCTGACTGTGGGGGATGCAGGCCAGTGAGGCGAAGACTGCTCAATGGACCAGGATCCTGTAGACTGTCAGCTGCAGCACAGCTGGATGCTGTGTCCCAAGAGAGTGAGCATCCTCAAATGAGCATTCAGCTTCCATGAGCTTAGAGAGGCTTCTAATAAGGAGCTCTGGTGGCCTACTGTTGGAATCCCCTAGCTGCTCCAAAGGAGGATGGACAGGCTCCAAAAGCCACTGGAGGGTCAGTTATGCATACAACAACAACAGTAGGGTAGGGCTTGCATCCCAGCCTAATCCAATCTCCTTAATAAATACTTTATCACAAAAGAGGAGGCTGCAGGTGGAAGGACCACGTCAGGTCATTGCATTAGTTCACTGAACCACAGTCCTAATCTTATTTCTAATATTGTATAATTGCATTTCTTTTCTTCTGGCTCAGATTTGCCGGATTAGTCTTATTTGATTAGGTGCTCTCAAGAATTAGATCATGATTTTTCAGTTCTTCATTTTATGCTTTCTCCACTGGTGATTTCTGTCCTATCTGTAGATTAAAGGACTGTCATAATCCATGGGGGATTGGCTCCAGGACAAAAAGTCTGTTACATAAAATGGCAGAGTATTTGCACATAATCTATACATCTTCCCTTGTACTTTAAATCACCTCCAGTTTACTTAGAATTCCTAGTTCAGTGCAAATGCTATGGAAATAGCACTTCATGCTCCCTTTTAGCCTGTGAGGGAATGCTTGGCCCACCTCATTGCTTTCCCCCCAGATGTTTATGATCTGTGAGGTTGGTTGAATCCACAGATGAAGAATGCACAGATACGAAGACCTATGGAAGGTGGATTGTGTTTCGTTACTCATTTGGAGTTGAAAGGGCCTAGACATTCTTCCAAAATCTCTTAATCTTTCTTTAAATAAAACTGTTTTCTTGAGAGTGCCAGCATCAATTTTTCTTAGCCATTTTATTTCTGATTCTTTTTTATGACAAATTATTTTGTTTCTACATTGTAAATGTAAGTATATTGTAGTGTATCTAGGGAGTAAGTTTCTTCTTGGAATTTCCTAATTTGGATGTTTTCCTAAAACAGAGGAATTGGAAATGAGAAAGGTATTGTAATTCTTCTGTGAGAATTCAAGTTTAACAATCAACACAAAGATATAAACGATTTGAAGAAATCTACTTGTGTGTCAAGTCAAAAACAAGAGCAGGAAATGTTGGTATGTAGTGTTGAAGGTTAATACTGGCATCTCCAGACTAGACCTGGGACAGGAGTTTGTAGGAGAGAAACGATTGTGAATGATCTAATCAATCAAACGTGTAACCGTGCACTTGTTTTGTGTGTTCTCTGGCCCTGTCTACAATTAATGTAACTCTTGAAAACCAAATAAACATTAATATGTTGAAATACATCGTATGTTATTTTTACTAGGTGCTGGCAAGTTGATTCCCACATAGAGACTACAGGACAGTGAACTGCCTTGTGAACTTTCCAAGGCTGTCATTTTTATGGGAGCAAATCGTCAGACTTTTTTTTTCCTTCCACAAAGACACTGAGTGGTTTGAACCACCAGTCTTTTGGTTAGCAACCCGAGCACTTAATTGTTACAGCTTTATGCACATCCTTTGGATGATGTTAAGTAGGGAATTCAGTCTTCAAGTTGATACTTTTGTGTTAATATCACTTAAGTCACTTCTTACTCACTCATTGTCTTTGTGTCAGAGCCAACTTATAGCCAGGTTGTCAGAGGCAGAAAATTGCATGAAGGAGATTGTCCAAACATATAATTTTATATTGGTTAGTAATAACAATTAACAAGCAAGCATATATTTATTATATATTCTCAGTGGATTTTATATACATAGTTTTGTTGGGTATTATTGTTATTTGTTGATGTGTATTTTTTTCCTGGTGGTTTTTTTTTTGGTAACGGAATAGCCTCTGAAACTTAGTAAAATCCAGAGAAGAAGAAATTACTATTTATTATCATGGTCTCTCGTTATTTTAAAACACATTACTGATGTGTTAGGAGCTCTCGATGGCACACTTGAGTGCTCAACTACTAGCCAGAACATTGGTTGGTTGAATTCAACCAGAAGAACATTGGAAGTAAGTCCTGGTGCTCTGCCCCCGGAGGTTCACTGCCTTGCAAACACTATGGAGCAGTTCTCTGCACACAGAATAGGGCTTGCTGGGAGCTGGAATCAGCTTGGTGGCAATTTACAAAAACAACAAAGCATTATGAAAAATACAAAATAACTTATGATATTAGCAATTACCAAGAGTTCTTGTCTGTGAATCCTGGACATTAACATTTGTTAGAAATTGGGCAAACAAGTGGCTCTGCGGGAAAACAAAGACAGTCTTCTCCCATACTATTTTTCAACCTCTGAAACCCTACTGGAGGTTCAGCTGTGAGTCAGTTCCAGCTTCAATAATAAATGAGAGCGTTTGGAGTAGGACTTTTTTTTGCCTAGTGTAGGAATGCAGCTACTTTATATAGCTCTTTCTTTTCAGTAGGTGTGTGTTTTCTGAGATCCAAATTATGGATCAATTGTCAGTTCTTTTGACACATTTATTCTTTCTTGTATATTATCTTTATTTAGGGTTCCTCCCCCCCCAATAGCTGATGGCCTGGTTTTGAAATTCATTACACGACTCCTTCATGTTGAAACTGCTCCCTTTTAATTCTTGTGAGAGATAACACAGGCTGTTTCTCAATGCTTTTTTCATTTCTCATAGGGCATTTTGGAAAAATCAAAGGCCAAAGGTCTGCCTATCGTCATCGATGCAGTAAGTGCCACCCTGCCCTCCCCCTTACCCAGTGTTAGTGCCCCTCCCCCTTACCCAGTGTTAGTGCCCTCTAGTAGCTGTGGGGTAAATGGCACCGTCCTTGTTTTGTGCAGGATGGACTGTGGCTGATTGCTCAGCAACCGTCACTCATTCAAGGTTACCGGAAGGCTGTTCTTACTCCCAACTACATGGAGTTCAGCAGGCTCTATGAAGCCATGGTGAGTTTAAGTTACTAAAAGACAGGATGGAAGTCCTTCTCGTCTTGGGGAGCAGGGAAAGAGTTCTGTTCCCGAAGGCTAATGGCCCCAGCTTATCCTCTCAGCACATGTCTGCAAATGGCTAGTGAACATGTTTTTCAGGACTTCTGAGATGCGCACTTTCCACATCTGTACAATGAGGATGCTTTTTACAAGTGACGGTGCATTAGTTTAGAAGCCAACGCCTTTCCTTTCTCGGTAGCTCGTATGACAGTGGTGCTGTCCACAGTCAGCGCCATCTTCACATGAAATGTGGTGAGAGAGCTTTGTCTCACTGCTAACTCTGGGCAGTCAGTCATCTCTGTTCCAGAATTGCCTCACCTGCCAAATGTGGATTACTGTCGTTTCTATTTCATAGAGCTTGTTTTCCTTTCTCTCCCCCTCCTCCTCAGTTTCCTTATTCTGACTCTAGAGCAGTAGGGAGCAGTAGCAGGCATCAGGGCCCCATGTAGTCGTCTGGTCGCAAGGTAGTGTTGGCCGCGGTCCACGTGATCCATCAGTCTTTGGACTACATGTTGTCATTGTTTACTTGATGCTTTGATATTTCCCAAGTCCTCTTTACTCCAGACAAAGAGAGACACATAGTTGCATTGGAGATGACCGCTCACGAGCTTTCAAAACCCAGTGTGCTACTCACCAAAGTAGGATGTAGAACATTGTCCTGGAGGGTTGTGTTGTGCCAGTTGTATAGCTGTCCCCTGACATGAGTCCTGAGTCCCCAAGCCCATTTAAGGCTGTTGTGAGGAAGGAATGAAATGACATATGTAAAGAGGTGAGCCCTTACATAGGAAATGCCTGGTAAATGTCCCCTCTCATTCCTACTAGAGGACTGGGTATTCTGCAAAGCTTTTACACACTAACTTTGTGCAGTCTTGACTTTGGTCTGATAGCGTAGAGGAAAGGTAGGTACCTCCAACAGTATGTCAACCTGGAGTGCTTGTTATACAGACAGTATGGGCCTTCCTCCATGCTAGTGGAGTCTTTCCAAGTGTGGGGACAGAAGTATGCATTTGGACAAGTGCCCGAGTGATTCCTTAACAATGAGGTTTAGCATCACTAATGTACAGGCCAGCAGCTCTTTCATCCTCCCCAGTGTATTGAGAAGCTCGTTCATAATCTTGTCATGACAACTTTGACTTTTTCTCTGGTCTTCCCCTCTCTCAGCTTCGAGATCCTGCAGACAGCAATGATCATCACGGCGCCGTGCTGAGACTCAGCCAGGCCCTGGGGAACCTGACTGTTGTTCAGAAAGGAGAGAGAGATGTGATTTCCGACGGTGAACAGGGTGAGTGTGCCTCCCCCGCTGGGTCAGCCGCACTGTGGCAGCTGGCTGGTCACGGTCAGTGATGAAAATGAAGGAGCAGGTGCAGGGGCGCAGGCTGTGTCACACTTCTTCTGGCTGCTCCTGCCCTGCGCGTGTCCACATACATGCACATATGGTCAGCAGAGAGAGGCAACGCCTCATGAGCCCATCAGCCATGACTCAGTCATGGTCCCTATTTTATTTTGAAATATAAAGCAAGTGAAAGCAATGAAATGAAGTATTTAAAGATGGTCTTAGTCTTTATACTCAAACTGAATGTCTAAATGATGTGTATCAAACCGCCCAGTGGGAGGAGGATTGTAGCACAGCTTTCACTTGTTTCTATGCCTCTTTGACCTGGTGGTCACTCAGAATAAAAGCCATGATTATTTCCCCACTGTTTTTGAGAATAGTTTAGAAAGGCTATTCCTTTGGACAATGAAAGCTCAGTGTTACATTTTAAAGCAGGCATTGAAAGTAGGTTTCCTGGAACATTACAGAAAGCAAAAGAATTCTTGGAGCCATTGCAGCTCACAGGAAAGAGTTCTGAGGGCAGAGTATGGGGTGAGTGGCCAAGGTAGGCACGTATTTGCCATTTCTGCTGGAAATCTTCTGAAGGGTGAATGGGAAAGCCCTGCTGACTGGGACCAGATATGGGAGTGTTCTTCTCAGGAGACAGCTCATGGACTCTCTGTTTTCATAGCTTTTTTATAATTAGTGTGGCAGTTTTAGAAGTTAGATTATCTAGACTGAAAACTATTTCAAAAGTGCTGAGAGCATTTTAAAGGTTAAGATATATTTGTCATTTTTTCTTTCATATTCCTGAGAGATTATTCTCCAGAAAGGTTAAAAAGTTCTTTTGCTTCTGCATTAACATTTTGACCAAGGAAAAAAACATCTCCTTTCCCTGATGTGGTCGTTATTATTGTCCTGTGCCACTGAGTCGCCTGTAAATCATTGATTCCTTCTGTACAATAGCTCTGAACTCTGCCTTATCTTGAGCCAATTCTTTTATCTCTGAAAATGAAAAATAACATTTATAAATATTTGGACTAAGTAATTATTTAGGTAAAACATTTTAAGTCTGGTGGTATGGTGGATTAAGCACTGAGTCATAAACTGAAAGGTTGGGAGTGTGAATCCCCTATCCACTCCTCGGGTAAACGAAGCATTCTGCTCCTGTCAGGATTAACAGCCTCAGAAATTCAGTGGGGCAGTTCTGCTGTGTCCTGGAGGGTCATCAAGAGTCAGAGTGGACTCGATGGCAATAGTTTGGTGTTTTGGTTTTATAGTGTAACGTAGTCACTCCCCTTTATCTGATTGAACAGATGCAGGTGGTCCCCACTTTTCCTGTATAAGTGATGGGCTAAAACTTGGCCATAGCAGGTTTGGTTTCTGGTTCAAGGAACACTTAAGGAGCCCTAATGGGGTAAGATTTAAACCTGCTAACTGACCCAATGGGATTTACTGCTTCTTTAAGCTTGCTGGAGGGTCACATATAGGTTGGTTCTGACTTGACAGCACACAACAACAGCTGAAACAACTGTGGCTCAAATCCACCCAGAAACTACATAAGGGAGGGACCTTGTGGTCTGTAAAGATTTCAGCCTAGGAAACCCAGTGGGGCAATTTTGCTCTGTTTTAGAGCGTTTCTGTGAATGAGAATCAACTTAATGATTCTGAACTAATAACAAAAATGGAAAGGTAGGCACATACTCCAGGCCATGGTCTTCACAACTACTTGCTATGCATCAGAAAGCTGGATAGTGAATAAGGATCACAGAAGAAAAATTGTGCCTTTAAATTGTGGTACTGGAGAAGAGTATTGAACATAGCATGGACTGTCAAGAAAATAATCAAGTCCATCTTTGAGAGGGTAAAACCAAGCTGCTCCATGCAGGCAAGGATTTTAAAGCTCTGTCTCACATACTTTGGGCATGTTGCAAGGAGGAACCAGTCCTCGGAGAAGGACATCATGCTTGGAAGGATGGACAGCACAAGAGAGGAAGACCCAGGATGAGATGAATAGACACAGTAACTGAGATAACGGAGTAGGTGTGTTGGAGACAGAGAAACTGGCTTTGGATAGAGCAGGGTTCAGAACTATGGTGCATAGAGTTCTTATGCATTTCAGTCAACTCAGCGACACATACCAGCAATAACAGGCACATAATACATGCACATACAGAGAGAGCAAGTTAGGGACAGCAAATGCCAGAATTCTATGTTGTGTCAGATAGACCAATGTATTTTAAAAACATTTACCAAAGCAATAGAAAATTCTGATACAGCCATTAGGGAGCTCTGGTGACCTAGCCCAGAGGGAGATGGATCTCTAACCCAGGTAGTGCTTCTCTGGAGGCAGGAATCCGAGGAAGAAAAATGAACTACTTCCTCCCATGCAATTTACAGCCTCCAAAATAAGGTGAGTCTTTCTAGTTACTGGCACTGTGAATTGACCGCTCCAGTATTAAAGCTACATGGTTAGTGGGGAGGACGTCGAGGTGGCCAAATGGCTAATGCCCTCTTTGAAGGTGAATGTACTTTGTGATGCGAGATAAAAACACAAGTTCAGCCTCCTCTGTGGTGGGGTTGTATTACAAGCCCACCAAGAATCACCGCTAGTGTTTACGTAAGAATGTTCTTCTTGGATGTTGTGTTTCAGCAGATAAATCCATGTCTCTCTTCCCTCCTGTGCTCTTCCTTTTGTACTTAGGCACATTCCAGGTGTTTCCGCTGGCCTGCCCATGACAGTGCTTCTGACTTCCTCCTTCATTGCTGTGTGATCTGGGCCTGTCCTCTGTGTGCTTCCGTGTCCTCATCCATAAAACAGAGGTGGCCTCAGATCCTTTTGAGAAACAGGGAAGAAACAGTCCATGATCTAAAATGAGCTCTGAGCCTGGGGCAGCAGGTCGAGTTCTCACAGCAAGCTTACTTCCTTTATAGCATCTTGATTGTGGTGCCCAGGAAGGTTACCCCGAAGCTAACGCCCGACTCTGGTCTGCTCTCGTGCAGTGCTCGTGTGCAGTCAGGAGGGAAGCAGCCGCAGGTGTGGAGGCCAAGGAGACCTGCTCTCCGGCTCCCTGGGTGTCCTGGTGCACTGGGCCCTGCTGGCCGGGGCTGAGAAGACAAACGGGTGCGTGCACATCTTTATCTGTACTACTTTGACCTTGTTCCATTTTCTCAACTATTTCAGTAGCTAAAACATTTACTAAGTAGTCACTTCACAAAGGTCAAAAGAGATTACAGGGCCGAGGTTATGTCTGCATAGTAAGAACATGTGAGAATCCTTTAGTATCTACCACTGGCTGCCAGGCTCCTAATTCTGTGTCTGTGTGGATTCTGAGGTGTCTGTTCATTCAGTAAAACAGCTTTCCAGTTCATGCAAATGAATGGACAAGCTTGAAGACCACTGTTTTAGGGATTTCAGTTGTGCACATCCTATGAAACAAAATGTTAAAATAGAAAACAGATCGAGTGACATAGACCTCTGACCTTAAAGAGGTGGGCTGCTTTTATGAGGTAGCAGAATCATAAGGTTGTTTAGAACAACCAGGCTCTGTGATCAGGTTGCACTCCCATCTGTGATCCCCAGTTTCTTCATTTGTGAAAAGCTCACAGTAACCATAGCGGCCACCTATGAAATGCTCAGGCTTCTAAAAAGTGAGGTCCAGGGGGCCTCCCCTAACACCTTATGATGCTCTGCAGTGTTGGTGTTCGCACAGCCTATCACACCTTGATGTGAGCGTGAGATAGGAGTCTGGAAGCAAAGGCCACTAGGCTTTTATTCCTTGACATCACAAGAAAATTAAAGAGCACTGTTAAGACAGGGCACTGTTTTGTTGTGTGTTTTTTTTAAGAGGATGCAAAGTTTATTGTTTATCTATCACACAAAATATATTTCTGTTCTACAACAATAAAGACAGGGCACTGTTAAAATACCTGGAATCAGGGAGCTCTGGGGACACTGGGACTAAGACACATTCAACTACGAACCAAAAGGTAGGTGGTTCAAACCACCAGCTGCTCTGTGGAAAGAATATGTGGCAGTCTACTTTTTTGAAAATACCTAAAACCAGTAAATATGTGTCTGGCTTTTCTTCATGGTGAAAAAACAAAAATTGCTTTCCACGGCTCTGTCCTAACATACTTTCTGAGTGGATGAACAATATCTTTTGTCAGGGACATGAAAATCAGAGGATTAATGATCTTTTAATTATAAAGCTATGTATGTATAAACATATTTCCAAGTCAATTTTTTTAATCTGTACAGGTAAGTGATACAACTTAATCATATTAGGCAGACCCCATCACCATCACCAACTCCATAACCGTTAATACACTCTTTCCTCCTCCCTCTTTCCACCCTAGTAACCACTGATAAACTTTGGTTTCTGTACATTGGCCTACTCTTGTTATTTCATATAAGTGACATCATAACATACTTGTCTTCTCATGATTAATTTCTTTCACGAGGCACAAGATTTCCAAAGGAGGTCTGTTGGCCTAGTATGTAAGGTATCAGGCTACTACCTAAAAGGTCAGTGGTTCAGATCAACCAGTCACAGCGAGGGGGAAAGATGAACAGTCTCTGCCTATTTGTTAGATTCACAGCCTCAGAAACCAGATGAAGGGTCACTGTGAGTTGGAATCGACCTGACAGCAGTAGATACTGGGTTGCAGTTTCCATGTTTCATCCACGTTGTAGCATGGGTTCAGGACTTCCTTTCCCTTTCTGTTTAGTCGATAAAGCAGAAATAAGACTGGCCTCCTTGGACACCCCTGGGCATATCAGACACATGTTGCCAGTTTGAGGACCAGAGGTAGAAAATAGAATTAAAATCACCTATTGCAGTAGCCTCAGGCCCACTTACCTTCAAAAGGCAGTTGTCAGTGCTGTTGAGGCTCTTTACTTCCCACTGTGGTTAGCTTCTTCTTTTTTTTTTTTAATTTTTTTATTTTTGTGTGAGTGTACCGTCAAATCAGATCTGACTGGGACAGGAGGAGATTGTCCCTCCTTCACTGGCAGTGCATCTGGTAGATTCAAACTGTGCACCTCTGGGATTGTTGTGGTTAGCTTCTTGCTGACACCATTCTTGCTCTTTTCCAGTTTAAACCCTTTCCTAGTGGCTGCAATTGGTGCCTGCTCACTCACAAGGCAGTGCAACAGCCAAGCCTTTCAGAAATATGGGCGCTCCATGACCACCACAGACATGATTGCGGAGGTTGGAACTGCATTCAGAAAGCTCTTCGAAACCTGAGCACGTGTGAACAGGAAGAAAAAAGGCCACCACCAAGAGAAGGAAATTCCATTTTACAGTGGGGAAAAACCGGCACATTTATGTATGTGACGGATCATTTGAATACTATGACAGCATACATTTCTGAGTAGAGATATCTAAAGGCCAGGATAAACAGGGAAACTTTTTATAAATGTGGCATTTTATAGATGTGGCATGTAAGAGTTGGGATAAAATAGTGTATAGTTGGAGATGTTGTAAGTAGACAAAAGATTTCTGAACATTCCTTAGTTTCCCATCAAGAACTGAGGAAGAAATGAAATCACATGAGAATGAAAAATTCTTTCAACAGCTCCACTGAATTTCTTGGCTTTCTCCAAGATAAGCTGAATTTGGTTTTCTGCTTTCTATGCTTTCCTTTCTCATTCTCTACCGATGCACTTAATTTTGTTTTTAACTTAAGTTGTTCTCTTTATTCAATATTCCTATCAGAAGGACCCAATCTTTTGCTATCAAGTATCTATTTAGTGAATTGTTTTTCTTCTTTCCTTTTTTTAATTGATAACCACTGAGGGAGATGGCTTTCCTTGCTTGGGCTCATTTTTGTGTGTTGAAAATAAAATTGGGTTGGAAAAAAAAATCACTGGGCTGAAACACTTAAGCACTGGCTCTTCGGGTTTACTCACTTAAGTATTTGAAAAGGTGACAACCGGCGACAGCAATCACTAAGGGAGCAATGTGGGAAAATCAGAAGAGAACAGTCTGGTACTTCCAGATCAGGAATCAGACAGGGCTTCTGAAATTCTGCAGATCATACTTTCTCAGTTTTCCCTTTCTGTCCACATATATGTATCATGATGGCCAGCAAGCATCCATAAAATAAACATGAACTGGAAGGACACTGATGAGATAGTTGCTGTTCTGATGTACCAATGGCAGTAGTATCTTGAGGGAGAAACACACAGGAAGTTAAGCTTGGCCATGTTGTCCTTGCTTGTTTGACAACCAGCAAGTGTGTTTGGTCTGGCATGATGGTAGGAAGGGTTCCCGGGAGGAAGTGCTGGCTGGCATCATTCTGCTTTCTCACGGAACAGGACAGCTGTGCCATCTGGTTTGAAAACATGCATGTCCTCAGAAATAGTTACAGTCCATTAAGGAAATGGGTATCTCTGAAATTTTAGTAAATGAGATGTTTTGCTGTATGGTGTCATTAACCTCTTGTGAGCTCAGACAGTCGCTTTGTATGCATTGTTTTCTTAGAGTGGCATCTGCTCTTTCAGATGGGCCAAGATGTTTTCCATTTCCTAGTGTCATTTCACAGTGAGATTTGGTGCAGCTGAGTAGACTTTTATACTTTTAATAATGCTTTTCTACAGCAAATGCATACTCAATCTCGTTCCTTTATTGCCCTTGCTAATCAATCTTCAGTTGATACTCTGTGATTCAAACTACCTCACCCCAAACTGATTTCATTTTCTTTCAAATGGTCAATCACCTGTCGTGATGGTTTTTAAAAAAAAGACATTTGCTACAGTTATGTCACATCTCCTTTATAATCTTTACTGTCTATATGTGGTCTCTGGATAAACTGGCAATGGACAATTTTTTTTCTCCTTCGGGTCATTATATCTGAACACTGGTAACTATTAAAAGAAAAAAGAGCTACTTTATTTAAATGTGGAGTTTTGGTTTTTTTTCCCTCTCCTAAATTGAAATGTTCAAAACAACCTTTCATCTTTTCTAAGTAGGGGCACTGCCTGGTACTTATGTTAAAAAATATATAGGGAAGGAAAAATATGTTAAAAATCTATATATAGTGAAGAATAAGTGCAACAATAAATAAAAAAATGTTTAAGCATGCACACATACACACCCATTATGTATCTCTCTATACACACATATGTAAATTGCATGCTTCTCACTAATGCATACCAGTATTGCCTCAATTAAGTAAAAAAACAAGCCATTTCTTTTCATAGAAAAGTATAGCAGTTATTGTTGGAGGTTCTCATTAGTGATGGTGTTAACATTTTTGCTTAAATGGGAGTTTAAGAATCCACCCAAGTCAGGTGATTTTCTTAATATAGGAAGTTGCTTCACTGTTCTTTACCATCCAACCCATACATGTACCTCATCTCAGCTAGAGCAGCTGAAGGCCTTGTTCTTAGTTTCCCTGAGACGAGGATAATAAGAAGAGTATGCCTATCATTTGGATGGTCAAAGTGGTGAACCTGCTGCCACATTAGACATTCTGCTTCCTCAGAATTGACCATTTGGATATTTTGTTGTGTAGTGCTCGCCAGCCATCTGGGAATCCTAGCTCTGCCACTGACTAGCTGGGTAACTTTTTGCAAGTCAACTTCTGAATACCAAGGACTTTTCAGGGTTATGAAAGATTAAATGATAATGTGTACAAAGCAACTGAAGTGAAACTGCCAGTAGATGGAAGCTAATTGCTAGCCACTTTTTGATCTGTTGCCTCCAGCTCCAGCCTCCAAACCCAAACCCACTGCAATCAAGTCGATTTCAAGTGTTGGCAGCCCTCTATGGGACGGAGTGGAGCTGCCCAATCAGGTTTCCAAGGCTATAAATCTCGACAAGAGCAGATCACCTCCTCTTTCTCCTGAGGAGCAGCTGGTGGACTCAAGCTGCTAGCCTTCTGGTTAGCAGCCTGTCACATACCTCACTACACTACCAGGGTTCCTGCTTTATCCACAGGATTTAATAAATGTTCCCTTTACAGTGACCCTATCAACAGGATCAGAGAAAATAGTATTTTCCACTCGGGATTTAAGAGCTAGATGGAGAATAGGGGGTGGAGAGTGTCACCAGTTTTGGTTATTTATTTAACAACTCTCCTGGAGAAATAGTCCTGCTGGTAGAAAGTTTAAGAACTCTGCTGCTAACCAAAAAGTTGGAGGTTCAAGCCTTTACAGTGGCTTCTTAGGAGAAAGGTCTGGCAATTTGCTTCTATAAAGATCTGCTGTCATTAGGTGCTGTCCCAGCCATTTGAACTCATAGCAACTCAATATACATGAGAACCTGACATTGCCTGAGCCATCCTGACAGTCACTGGTTTGTTTTAGCCTATTGCAGCCACTGTATAACTCATCTCGTTTATGGTCTTTTTTACTGACCTTCTTTTACTAGTCCTGATGGTCTTTCTCAAGAAATTGGCCACTTCACCATCTCAGACCAGGGTCTCATAACAAGTTTACAGGATACTACAAGGCCTACACATGAAAAAGGTTGATAATCCAATTACAAAATGAGCAAAAAATATGGAAAGACTTCTTAGAGGAAGATGTTCGGATGGCCAACAGACACCTAAAGAAATGCTCAAAATCACTGGCAATAAGAGAGATGCAAATCAAAACCACAATGAGGTACCATCTCACCCCAGTAGCAGTGGCACAGTTTAACAAGGTAGCAAGTAATGTTGAAATGGATGTGAAGAGATAGGAACTCTTATACATTGCTGGTGAAATTACAAAATGGTACAACCACTCTGTAAGGTAGTTTAATATTTCCTAAAAAAGCTGAACCTAGAAATTCCATATGACCCAGCTATTCCACTGCTTGGAATATACCCTGAAAAAAAAATGAAATGAGACACAAATTGAGAATTGTACACTAATGTTCATATCAGCATTATTCACCATTGCAAGAACATGAAACAGCCCAAATGTCCAACCACAATCAAGTGACTTGAGAAATTATGATACATTTTTCAATGGGGAATGGGATACTACACAGCGTGCAGGAGCAATGATTTAGAAAATTACTGCATAACTTGAGAAGGTCTGGAGAGCATCATGCTCAGTGAACTAACTCAGTCCCATAAGGACAAATATTGTATAAGACCATTATTGTAGAAATAAAAAGATAACTAATAAAAAAAATGTATGAGGATCCAAGGAGGGGAGTACGGAGCAGCGGGGTGAGGATGGGCAGGGGATAATCATAGGGTCACACAATTTGATGAGCAGAGGGAGGGGTGGGTGAAGGAAACAGGAAAGATCTGGTGTGAAAAACAATGTATACGGACTTTGTACACAAACCAGTAAAAAAATAAAAATTAATTAAAAGAAAAAGAAATTGGCCACTTCTCATCCAAAGTGAGATGAAATCTTGCCACCCCTGCCTCCAGCTTTCTGGCTATACTTTAACCAAGGCAGAGTCCTTCATTCTTCCTGCAGTCTGTAGTATGTTTGATATTCTTCGTCAGCACTGTAATTCAGGTGGATCACTGTAGATCTTGCACCAAACACACTTTTGTCTTCAGAGTGGTATCTTTGCTTTCTATCATTTCAGAGAAATGTTTGGGTACTTGCCTAATGCTGTACCATTTGAGTTTTAGGACTGCTGCATCTATAGGTGTTGATTGTAGATCCACGTTAAAGGAAATCATTAACAACTTCAGTATTTATTATGATGTTGCTTATTGGTCCAGCCGTGAACGTTTTTGTTTTATGTGGAGATGTAATCCATACTGAAATATATAATTTTTGACCTTGAGCAATAAATGCTTCAAGTCATCTTTGCTTTCAGTAAGCAACGTTGTGTCTTCTGCATGTCAGGAGCTGTTTATGAGTCATCCTACAATTTTGATGCTACGTTCTTCACATAATCCAGCCTCTTTGAGATAAGTATAGGGAAAGAATACAGCCTTGACACACACTCTTCCTGATTTTAAAACTGCATACTAGCCCTCTTCTGTTTGAATGACTGCCTCTTGGTCTATGTACATTTCTGCATGAACGCAATTAAGTGTTCTGAAATGCTGTTCTTTGCCATGATCCACAGTAGAATGCACAGTCAATAAAATGCAGGTAAACATCATTCTGGGATTCTCTGCTTTCAGCTAAAGATCCATCTGACATCAGCGTGATCGTTCTTGTTTCTTACCCTCTTCTGAATACTAGCTTGCATTTCTGGCAGTTTCCTGGCAATGTACCATTGCATCTGCTTTTCTTCAGGAAACTCACTCATGTATATTAATGCTATTTTTATTTCTTCAATCCATTAAATCACCTTTCTTAGTAATGGGCATGTTTATGCAAAACCCTGTGGGGGAGTTTGGTGTCACACAATCCCTAGGAGTTGAAATTGGCTTGAACAACAAACATTTCACTGATTAGGGAAAAGTCCTGAGGAAATTACAAATAAGTAGCTCCAGAGCAGTTCCGTGTTTTCTCTTTTGCTTTCTGCCAACACCTTGAGGTCAGTTTTCTCACTGCTCTTTCAGAGAGCTGTTTTTTTTCTGTTGCTGGTTGTCACCATTCTCGCAGTCTCCCATGAGTCCTCTGTGACATCTCATCTAAACGCTGCCTCTGTCACCTTTCATCCTTGGACGCTCACAGTCTCACTGGTTTTGTTCCCAAGCTTCTGATCCAGACTTCCATGGAGTAAACCTTTCTAGACCACAACGCTCAGTTCTTCATTTCTCTGCTCACAAAGCTTCAGGCTTAATGTTTATGGGCGGTAAAATATCACACACCATGAAAACCAATTGCTTTTTAAATTTTTCCAAGAAGAGACACAGAATAACAGCTGTAAAAAATGTAACTGCAGTAGTAATTGCAGGTGATTCTTCTTTGCTACCTTTTCCCAATGTTTGACACATTACTCTGATAGAAAAGGTAAAAAGTTATTTATCTCCTCAAGGGGGAAGAGAGTTCTGGTGGCCTAATGGTCATTGCTCTCCCAACCCCAAGGCAGCTGGTTCAAATCCACTAGCTGCTCCATGGGATAAAGATGGGCAGTCTCCTGTGTGATTTATAGCCTCTGAAGACCTGCTTGGGGTCAGGGATGGGGATTAGTTATGAGTCGGTTCTAACTCGAGTGAATTGAGTTAGAGGGGGAAGGGGAGCCCTGGTGGCACAGTCTGTAGGGACTCTATAGGGAGTTGTGCTGCTAATTCAAAGGTGGGGCCTCTCTGCCAGTTCAAATCCACCAGTGGTTCCGAGGAATAAAGACAGGCCATCTCCTCTTGTGATTCATAGCCTCAGAAACCACAGAGGGTCAGCTATGAGTCAGTACCACTCGACAGCATTGAGTTTTTTGTGGAGGGAAAAGCCTACCATGTTTGGCACTGGATCGTTTCTCATATGCCTGGCTTTCTCCCTTTCCAGATTTCCCTCTGCTTTAGATGAGGATTGGGCAGCAGCCATATATCCGACGCGAATCCCAGGGAGAAGGGACCTCACTGGTGCGGCTGCTGGTACCCTTTCTTGCTTCAGAAGCCTCCTTGCCCTTCACAAACTGGCTCTGTGCCATTCCTGGCTGGCCCAGGGGCCTCTTCTATGCCCAGGCCTTGTATTTCAGGGCTGGGTCTGGGCTTTCTCCCATCATGCTGCTTTAGGTTCATGGCTGCATTGCCCTCCTGCATCATGAGATCCCTGGGCATAGGAAGCAGCTGTGCTTTATTATGCATGGCAAATTTAACTGAATTGTCTTCCACTAAATATGTGACCTACCACCTGCCTATCAGTTTATCATTCTCCGTGGCTTGTATGGTGCTGTGGTGCTGGAAGCTGTACCACTAATATTTAAAATACCGGCAGGGGCCTCCATCGTGGATAGCTTTCAGCAGAGCTTTCGGACTAAAATGAATTAAGAAGAGAGGCTTGGGGACTTCTAAACATCAGCCAGTGAAAACCACAGACTACTACCCAACTTGTCTACTTTGGAAAGATCATTAGGAAGGAAAGACATCACGTTTGGTGAAGAAAGCCCATGAAGACATATGGGCCATGGTGAGATGAACTGGCCTACTGGCCACAGTGGTGGACTGACGCGCCCCTATAATCCCGAGGACAGTGCAGAGCTGGGCAAAAAAAGCCCCTTACTCTGTTATCACCGTAAGTCAGAGTCAACTTGACGGCAGCTAATGTCTATTTGCTGTCATTTATATAAACTTGAATTTTGTGTCTGTGGTTACTAGTATGATAAAATTAACTTTTCAGGCATCGCTGTTAACAGTCACCAATGAGACAGCCTCCGTTTAGTTAATTTTAATGTTGACTTAATAGCCATAGTAGAAACCTTTAATGTAAAGTTTTTAGAAGGCATAGAAGCCGTGTGGTCAAAGTGCGATTCCACATGGCTCTGCTTACTTTCAGTTCCCTGGTTTTGCTTATTTTGTTCTTTGATCCAGTAGTTCCCATGTAGATGTTGTATTGCTTCTGTCCTGTAAAAAGGCAAATAAGATCCAGGTTATCTGAATAGATACGTCACTGGCTGGGAAGGTTAATGGACAAGATCCGAAAAACAAAAGAACAAACTAGAGCATGCTACCCACCCTTAGTACGTAGACTCTTTCTATGCTAAAGGAAGCAGCTGTGTGCCTTTTAAAAAGAAGGGAGTGTGAGTGGGGAGTAGGGAGGAACTCTGCTACCTTCTTCCAAAGGGCCTGGTGCAGCTCACCTGTTCTGACACCCACCTGGTCTAATGCAGAGGTCAATAAGATGAGGCAGTTGATAGAAATGGTGGGCAGGAGCAGAAATTGACTGTGCAGTCCTATCCCTACCTCTGGTCCCCTGTGCTCACATATACTTCTGAGCCTTGGTAACCTGCTAGCTCTGACTTAATTACTCTAAGGATTAGTAATTACTTACAGGATTACTCTAAGTGTCTTTTTAAAAATTATCCAAGTAAAAGTTTACAGATCATCTTGGCTTTTCATTTAATCATTCATAGACATTGTGTTCTACAATTCCAGTTTATGTAATTAATTGATTATAATGTCTAATCAAATCCTTATTGCCTTCTTCTTTACTCAGTTTAGGGGAGCTCTTGTAGCCTCGTGGGTAAGAAGTTGCCCTGCCAACCCAAAGGCAGGCAGTGTGAAATCCACCAGGTGCTCCAAGAGAGAAAGATGAGCAGTCTCTTCTCCTGCGATTTACAGCCTCAGAAAACCCAGTGGAGGGTTGGCTAGGCGCTGGTCCCAACTCCAAGGCAATGACAGTTTTTCTCTGTTTCATTTTTTTAGTGCAGCCAATGTATCTATTAATTTTTACTCCCTTCTTATCTCTGTTAATCCTCCAAGACTGGTTGTATGTGTGAACCTTTCCTTGCTTTTTACATTAGTGGCCTTATATTAACATTGTCCTTTTGTGACTGACAGGTCACTCAACAGAGTTTTTTTTCCCTGGATTCATCTCTGTAGTGTAGTATTTCCCTTATTCTTTAGGACTGAGTGGGAATTCAGATAGCAGACTTATCCTTGCCTTTGATCCCTTGGGCTCACATAGGCATCTGAGCCTCAGTATCCCTGCCAGCTCTGAGTCCAGGATTATTGTAAATCTTTTGTTTAGGAGACCATTTTAAATTAGGCAGTAACTAAAAATCTGTGCTACTCCCTCTCCCTCTGGACATCTTCCAGACGGGAGGGGCTTTATACTCACTCAGAAGCATCACCACAGTGATGGTGCTGAAGATGTGGAACAATTCCCCCAAGCCTTGTTGTGTGAAGCTTGTTAATTTACAAAACACCTGCACACACTACCTGTCATGTGGCCTCAGGGTGATTATCCGCCTATTAGATGGAGAAGCACAGCCGCCCGGCAGCCTCTCACCTTGATGTTGATGCTGTGCATGGCGAGGTCCTTGCGCAGGGAGTCACACGCCTGAAGCAGTGGCAGCCTCTCCAGGACCTGCTGCCGCCGGGCTTCGCGGGAGGGCTCCTGTGTGGCCAGGGCATACTGACGCACTATCTGACGGAAGCGGACCAGCTCGTCCACCACACTGTGCAAAGTGGCTGAGCTGCTGTCTCCTGAAATAAGCTAAATACAGGCCAGGGAGGGGGTTTGCTCAGCAAGGTTGTATGCAGCAGAGTTACATCCACATCACACCAGAACCTGGATACCATGCTCTGCTGATGTGTGCAGAGGGAAGTCTATGCAAAGGCCAAGCCAGCACCAGTCTTTTCTTTTGAGTCCCTAACACTGGGTCTCTTTATAAAGAACTTGAAAGCTGGCTGTTTTCATTAGGGAGGTGGAGTGAAATGGTTGCTGGGTTGTTTACAACTGTTGAGCCTGCTGAGAGGAAGCCCCTAATCTCCAGTTCCCCTCATTTCCTTGGCCTTCTCAGCACTCCAGCAACAGTACACAAAAGCTGTCCCAGTCTAGAAGGAAAGGGCTCTGGTGGAATATGCACAGCCCCCTTCCCTTCCTCTGCTTCAGGGTCTCTCTATGTGTGGCCCCAAAGGCCCTTATTCATGTCTCAGAAAAGCAGGTTCGCACGCTCCCACCACAGACTGAAGGTTGAGGCCAGAGAACTTACACCAATACACTCTCCTGGAATTCTTAACTCATTAACATTTTAAGCATCACTTCTCTACAGGGTGAAAAGATGTTTATCATCTTTTTACCAAGAAGAGTCTAGAAGTCTAAGGCCATATGGCCCAAAGACATTAGATCATCAAACATATTTCCTGTCACCAAGTAGATAAATAAAAAATCTTTTCAATTACTTCCTATACATGTGAAAGTTGGACACTATCTAAGGATGAAAGAAGAAGAATCAATGCCTTTAAGTTGTGATGGAGAAGAGTACTGAATATCCTGTGGACTGCCAGAAGAACAAACAAAAAGTAGTGTAACTGGGGTGCTCTCTGGGGCAAGGATGGTGAAACTTCATCTCACATACTTTGGAGAATGCATGCTGTCAGGAGGGGTCAGTCCTTGAAAAAAGACATCATGCTGGGAAAGGTGGAGGGTCATAACAGGACAGATTGACAGTGACTACAGCAGTGGGCACGAGTATATCAGAAATGGTGAGAATGGCACAGGGTGAGGCAAGGTTCAGATTTGCTGTTCATAGGGTTGTCATGGGTCAGAGTCAGCTTGCTAGTACCTAACAACAACAACAGTACGGTTCACAATGTGAACCAAGAAACATTTCTATTACTAATCAATACTATCAATAATAAAAGTGATCAGTTAGATAAATTGATCAACAAGAGCAGTGCATCCCATTTCAGATATGGTTTACACTGGAGCTGACAGTTCACCATCTCCCTCCAATATTTCCTTCTACAATAAAGAATCGATCCTAGTGATTGTTCAGAAAATTGCTACTGAGAAGCTATTGCTATTAGGGTCAATACATGTAAAATACAAAACAGAGCCCCAGATATTTTGAAATTTCTAGTCAAACCTTTTAAAATGGAAAATCATATGATCTTTGTTGTTCCGTTATTGCTTCAAAAATCAAAGACAATTTGTTGTTACAATATTACAGCTGGTTTAGGTTGGGGCCAGATGCCAACATCTGCTTGAGAGAAGGTGAATTAACTGCTTTTGACAGGAGCCAGGTAAACTTGGCCAAATTAAGTCCCTTTTCTTACTCAATAGTGGTCTCTGGAAAGAGTCATCTAAAAATGGGCAAAGACATTGCAAGAGCTTGGTCGTCTTGGGCCAGAAGTGAAAGATTTTCATATGCATGGAAAAACAGACCCAAGGCTTCAAAAAAAAAGGCAAGCAAAACTACTGGGTAAAAGATATTTATACAAACAAATTCCAAAAAGAAGAAAAATTTAAAAAAATACAAAAAGAGAAAAGGAGCAATTAAAAAAACTCCAAAATTACCATGAAGATACTATAGTTTCTTCTTAAGAGTCAGAGAAATTCCCAGTAACAGAGGTCCTCAGGGACCAGGAGCCCACTCCCTGTGCAGTGGGGGAGTCATGGAGGCCTAGCCCAAGCCTACGTGACTCCTGTTTCAGCCTGAGTCAAAGGAGAGAGGTGCTCCTGGCTGCGGGCAGCCGAGCTCAAATGGTAGTGTGCTTTTCCAAGCAGCAGACTCGAAGAAGTGCCTGATGGGGCCATAAAGGAGTCAACACAGGTGAGCAGTTGCTCAGCGGCCAGAGAAGAATGAGCATCCCTCCCAACCTGTGATGACAGTTCTTGAGAAATGGCTCCATTTGACCATGATGAGAAGGAAATCTGTTGTATGTAATTTTTGGTAGCCCTTTTCTTTCCTCTTGAGAGCAATGAAGTTGGTAAAGCCAATAAGGCAGGGGGCTGCATGGAAGGGTAGCCTGATGGGAGCTGCGGAAGGGTCTTATTATGGCTTGAGCTGTCAAGACTCCAAGCAGAGTGAGGAAGGGGGGCAGGTGTGGGGCATCAGAGGCCTATAAGAGTATCTGTGCAAAGGGACGTCTTTTAAAGAAGGGTGACAAATGGGGCTGGGGGTGGCCTGGTCCCGAGAGGCAAAGCTCCTATAGAGAAAAGATGGCATCCACATGAGAGAGGGTATGGTGGTGGTGGAGGGAAAAATCAACTACATACAGGAAGATGAATAAAAGAAGTAAATTTACTTAGGCTACTGTTGTCAGTCTAGACCAGGCCATGGTCTTCCCAATTATTAGCTATGCATCAGAAAGCTGGACAAAGCTGATAGAAGAACTGATGCCTTTGAGTTGCTGGAGGAGAGTACTAAACATATCATGGGCGGCCAAGAGAACAAATAGGTCTGTCTTGGAGATGGTGAAAACAAGTTTCTTCTTGGAGGTAAAGATTCTGAAGCTCTGTCTCATATACTTGGGCGTGTGGCCAGGAGGGACCAGTCCTTGGAGAAGGACATCATGCATCGAAGGATGGAGGGACAGCATAGGAGAGGAAGACCTCAAATGAGATGGATTGACATGTGTCAGAGTCAGTGAAACTGGTTCAGGACAGGGCAGCCTTCAGAGTTGTTGTACATAGGGTCACTATGAGTCACAAATGACTCAACAGCACTTAACAACAGCAAATGGGTGCCAGATTTCTCACACTCAGAGAAGGGAGTTACTTGTGAAGAAAGCTAGAATGTACCCTTTGTTTTTGGATTATAATTGAGATAGCTATGGTAACTCCTGGGGGTCTCTGGTGGCCAAGTGGGGCTTCATGAAGGATAGGCAATCTCCTCTGGTGCAATTAACTGCCTCTGGAAACCCACTCGAGGGTCAGCTATGTGTCAGTTCTGACTCAATAATAAACGACCAGCACCACAACAATATGGTAACTCTTAGAATGAATAAAAGTAGATATTGCTATGACTGTCTGTATGTGTGTGGTTCTTTGTTCTGTCCATTGATAAGGTCAAGAAGCAGCTACAATCCAAGAGCAAAAAGCAGATCTAGCACACAAACCTTCACATCTAAATGCCCTTCTCTATTAAAAGCAACCACAACCAGAGACCCTTCAAGAAATGGATAACTCCATGGCTGGAGCAGAGAGAGTGTAAAAGAAGGGCCTGGAACATCTTTCAAGAAGGACAACATTTTAAAAAACTCCAAAAACCATGAAAAAGAATGTGTATAGCCTGCTTGTGTAGCTAAAATGGACTGATTCCTATTTTCGGCTAATAAAAGCTGGCTGTTTCAATGATATTAAGTGAAAGCTAGATCTGAGTGGATTTTTAAAAAATAATTATCTTTTTATGCATATAAACGAACTAGTCTGGCACAATTGCCCATTAAAAAGGAACATTTTAAAGGGAAGAAAAAATGGTTAAAAAAAACCCCAAACCTGTTGTACTGTCGTTCCTGCAAATAATCCTGCAATTAATCTTTTGTAAGAGAAAGATGTACCTGTTGATTTGCCAGAGAAATTCCAACAGTCTCTAAAAACTGTTCAATGTAGGAGACCATGGCGCCAAACACAGCAGGACTTCTAGGACCAGCCGTTTCCTGAAACAGATTATCCAAGGAAGCCTCTTTAAAATCAGCTTTGACCTCAGTTCTTAATTTGCAAAAGAACTAAGACTTTGATGGGTCACATCTACCTGTAGCAATTCTTCACATGTAGTGAAGACATACTTGGTTTTGAGAGTGCAGTACGTTACATAGCATGTTGTAAGTACAGAGTGAGTTAGAAAGAATCTGAATTTCTGATTCAGAATAAACAATGAGGAAATGTGTTCCATTTCTTTTTTTTTTTTTTAAATTGTGATTTAAACAGAAGTATACCAAAAGGTTGGTTTTCTTTCATTCATTGTGGTACTTTCCTCCCCTGCCCACATCCCCCTGCCCCCAGTATATTTTGCAATGCACCTCCTGGTCAAGACTGTCCTCATGTGTTCCATTTCTTATGCTTGGCTACAAGTCACCAAATTGCTAAGGGTAGAGACCCTTATGTGAAGTTAGCCTTAGTTTCTGGACCACTGGAATTACACAGAGACCAGGACAGACCCACTTGGACTATTTAAAACAGCAACAGCTAGTAACGCTTACTAGAAAGGGGGAATCGCCCTCCCTCAGCTACTCTCCTCCCACTCTCTCGGCGCAGGAAAACCACTGCACATAGTGGGAACTGTGACCAGTGGCAGCATGCTGGGTACATGAAGTGGTAAGTGAAGAGCCACTGGCCAAGTGGTTTAAGGGAAATGTTCTGATACTGGAATGGCTGAGGCTCGCAGGAATGGCCCATTAGTGGGTAGCACCCCCTCCCTGGGGTTGGGGTGCACATGATTGCACTAGACCGGCTTACTCTGTCTGACTGCTCCGAATATTTGGCAGAGTATCCCTCTGCTAAGTAAGCTTTGACTGAAATGTTATTACTTCCTCAAACTACCTATCTCAATCTGACTGCAGACAGTATATTAACTTCTACCGTGATAATATGCTTGTTTTGGGAGCTCCACTGCTAACTTAGCTGCCTCAGGACCACTGGCAAGTGTACTTAAGAAGCAACCCCTATGCCTCACCTGCAGGTGGTTCTGAAGGCCAAGGACCAAGATGCTGAATTAATGAAATGAAGGATTTGGACTAGAAGGATATTACAGTTATTACCGGAAGAAAGTGAAACGCCCAGGATAACCTTAAATAGCGCCTTCATGAATGCCTCCACTTTTCAGGACCTCAGGATTAAATAAATAGGCACTCCTCTGGAGACAGAGAGCTCTGGTGGCTTAGTGCTAAGGAACTGTGCTGCCAAGCCGAAGGTATGTGGTTTGAATCCAACAAATGCCCCATGGAAGAAAGATGGGCGATCTCTTCCGGTGTGATTTACTGCCTCTGAAATCCCACTAGAGAGGCAGCTATGGGTTGGCTCCAACTCGATGGTATATACCACCACCACCTCTGGAGGCAAGAACCAAGCCTTGATACACATCTGGATCATACATCTGATCCAAGATTACCATCTGGTAAGCTCAGATGCCATAAAGTTTCTCTGAGCAAATGGGTTTACACAGCAAACAATTAGCAAGCATGACATGTATACTGGTCAGCGTGCCAGGAACTGCTTCAAGTGTTCTGTTTAACTTAATGTTGTTAAATGCCATCAAGTTGACTGTGATTTATGGCAAACCCATGTTCACAGAGGAAAGCAGCTTCTTAGTTTTCAAAACTGTGACCTTTTGAAAACAAATCACATCTGTCTTTTTTTTCTTTTTTGGTTGGGAATCTTTTACTTCACATTGTATTTGGGAGATTCAAAACTGTTGATGCAATTAATTGTAGATTTTTTGCATTCTTATTACTGTTTAGCATTTGATTGTATAAATAGAACATGAGTTATTTATTCATTCATTATAAATGGGCCCCTGGTTTGTTTCCAGTTTCATGATTAGTGTTGTCAGAGGTATAATTATTTTTATTGTTTGTTTTTTGTTTTTTTATTTTTATGAGACTCAGCTCTTAAGATTTGTTAATAGTGCTATTTGTTGACTGGTTTTATACTAGCTAATTAAAGTCTGCTTTTATCTTTTTATTGGTAAAACCAGGCTGTTGTGGAAGACACCTCTGGGTGGGTTTGAACTGCCAACTTTGTGGTTATGTTCTGTTATGTTGGAACCAACTCATAGCTGACCCTCCAGTTGGTTTTCAGAGGAAGTAAGTCACATGGGAGGAGACTGCCCATCTTTCTCCCATGGAGCAACTGATGGATTTGAACCACTTACCTTTGAGTTGGTAGTACGGCTCCTTACCACTTAGCCACCAGAGCTCCCTTTTCTGGGGGGGATGGGGGGAGAGTGTCTATAGTCTAGTCTTTACATGTGCACACTCAGGGACCTGTTCTACACTTAAACCATATTTAGTTCTCACAATCTTGTGTGCTTGGGACTATTAATATTCCATTAAGGTGTTCAGCCTCCTCTCCAGGTGCCTGCAGAAACAGACTATAAATGCAAAATACAAAGGCTCCAGGAACTCTTAAAGAAGAAAGGGTTATTTAGGAGATTCTTGGGAAACCACCAGCTGTGGAAAATGAAATCAGTCCAGAGAGTTAGCATACTCTGCTTCTGTTCTTTCTTTACTGGGAAGAAAAACAAAACAAAACAACTAATCTGTCAGCACTAACAGCAGGACCAAGGGAGCTGTCATATCCTAATGAGTTACCTTAGTAACTGCCTTAAGCTGTCTGTTCCCATGGTGAATGAGGTCCATAATGGCATCCAAAGCTCTGGGCGTGTCAAAGTCATCTGCAAAAGCAGCCTTCACGGCCACCTTTGTGCTGCTTAGGCTGTGTGGAAAATAAAAGAGAGAGAGACACTGTTCAGTTAGACGACAAGGAAATTTTTTTCCTATAATTATATTTTATTAATTTTCATAAACATTTACAGAGATTTTGGGTTTCCATTCATTCATTGTTGCACTATTCTCTCTACCCTCCTCCCA